CTGCTTTAGTCCTGGCTCTGCTTTAGGCCCGCTTTAGACTTTGTCCTGCTTTAGACCTCCTTTAGTCCTGCTTTAGAACTGCTTTAGACCTGCTTTAGACCTGCTTTAGTCCTGCGTTAGACCTGCTTTAGACCTGCTTTAGTCTTGCGTTAGACCTGCTATAGTCCCTGCTTTAGAACAGCATTAGTCCTGCTTTAATCTTGATGTAGACCTGCTTTAGATATTCTTTAGTTCTTGCTTTAAACCTGTGTTAGTCCCTGCTTTAGACCTAGTTTAGTCCTGATTTAATCTTGCTTAAGTCCTGATTTAGCAAGAAGCCTCATATTACGATCACCGACAAGAGAATTCTGGGTATTGTAGTTCCGGGACAAAGATCTTGCAGTTAAATCGTACTTTTATACCTTTTAGGTCCAAACACCAAAAGAGCTGGTGTCATTTACCTACAAAGTTCAAGCTAGACTTTATTCTAAATCTCATCGGCCTCAAAGAAACACGGATTTGACTTCCGGATCCTGAAGCTCCGCCCACTCATAACCTCAATAATGTGTATTTTAAAGTCCACATTTCAAGGACTAACGGCAAGTCTATTTCTGTCCCACGATTACACAATTTGGATCTTGATCACCGCCTCGTGTTGTAAATGTTTCTGTCTCCCTGTGGATCAGGAGTAAACAGCCCGTGGACCTCCCTCCGCTCCCCCACATCCGTCACAGCACTGTCAGCTCTATAAATACCTCCCTGCTCCTCCCTGCTCCCCACGCTCCTTCAAAAAGAAAAACTTGTTTTGTTTTCCCTTCTTCTCGAGTCGCGTTCGTCTCCTCGGCCTCTATAGGGGCAGCACTCATAAAAGATGTTTGCAGAGACTGGAGTGCGGGTGTTCTGAGCATCGAGGGTATTCACTTTTTCAACTTTTCCATGCTTTAAACGACAACACAGTGCTATTTGGCCTTCATACACATTCAATTCAATTCACCCTCAATCCCAACAGGAGTTATCTCTGAGGAATTTACACAACCGTTGAATTCGCCAACACAGATCAGAGAATCAAACCGCTCAAACACAAGTAATACAATGATTGAAAACACATAGAGGTATTGGTCCATAAGCGGCAGATTACCAATGTCCATAAATGTTGATAAATGTCCATAAATGTTGATAAATGCCCATAAATGTTGTGGAATGTGGAGTGTCTTGGATCATCACCACCATACACATACAAGTAGTTTTTTTCATTGATTCCCTCTAGCTTTAGATAGAGAACAATCTTACATGTGCCATACTTCAGAAGGAGCTGGACTTCATTTCATTTGATGACGTGGCACCATTTGTTTTGATGAGCAAACTATAGGACCTTTATGTCAGACAAAGCCACTTAAGTTTTCGGAAACACTTAGCCCTCACGATTTAAAAGCGAATTAACCCTATAGCCCTAGCCCCAACCCTACTCCTAATCCACATCGGAAAGGGTCAATTAGTAGTTAGTCAGTTGTTGAATTAGGCCATGTTGACAAATCTGTGCTTAATAAAGATCATTTAAGAGCTAATTTATCCTAAATTATAAACTAATAAGTACATAGTTAGCTAAACTAAAGTGTGACAATAAAGTGATTCCAATCGTCTCCGAAAGTGAATCATTTCTAGTGAATCACAGGGGAAAAATCCTCCCATGACTTTTGGAGTTGTGTTGCTCACCGACTGTAGATGAACAATGCTAACCCGTGCTCATGGTGAAGTTTGGTTCCAACTCGCTCTGGCTCCTACATGTAAAAGTAAACTCACCATTTGTGTCAGACTCACCACTCTCAGTGTTCTTGTTGTTTTATTGTGATATTGTCTTTGTAAATCCAGCTATGGGACATAAGGATTGACCAATCAGATTCCTTTATTTGCGGGGGAAATTCCAGCCCGCCTGAGCACTGCGAATCCCACAGCTCTCTCTGGCAGTTGGAGAAGTGCGGCTGCAGCTCGGCTCGTGGTCTCGACGCTCGCACAGACCCCATTAGCTTGTTACTTCATAGAACACCATTACACTTGACACTAAGCACCGGGACAGACGCGGCGTTACGGAAGATTAAGTCATGCCGACGTGTTCCAGAAGATGGAGTGCGGCTGATGTAAACACAGCCTGCGGGCGAATCAATCCATAGTCTATTAATCTGCACAGTGTGAGGATCACAGCTGAACAGACGTGTACGTTAGGGACGGCTTCATCTGTCCATGTGTGTGTGTGTGTTGGAAGACAGAGTGTAAGGACAGAAGGGGAGGGGGTAGATACAGGCCAGAGAGAGAGCAAAAAGGGAGCAGAGAGAGAGACCAGAGAGAATCCAGAGAGAGACCAGAGAGAGAGAGAGGCCAAGGGGAGAGATCAGAGAGAATCCAGAGAGAGACCAGAGAGAGACCAGAGAGAATAGAGAGGCCAAAAAGAGAGACCAGAGAGAGAGATCAGAGAAAGATCAGAGAGATGCCAAAGAGAGAGAACAGAGAGAATAGCGAGGCCAAAAAGAGAGACCAGAGAGAGAAATACCAGAGAGAATCCAGAGAGAATAGAGAGGCAAAAAAGAGAGACCAGAGAGAGAGAGAGATCAGAAAAATAGACAGGATGGAGAGAGACCAGAGTGACAGACCAGAGAGAGAGAGACCAGAGTGACAGACCAGAGAGAGAGAGACCAGAGTGACAGACCAGAGAGGAGAGAGACCAGAGTGACAGACCAGAGAGAGAGAGACCAGAGTGACAGACCAGAGAGAGAGAGACCAGAGTGACAGACCAGAGAGAGAGAGACCAGAGTGACAGACCAGAGAGAGAGAGACCAGAGTGACAGACCAGAGAGAGAGAGACCAGAGTGACAGACCAGAGAGAGAGAGACCAGAGTGACAGACCAGAGAGAGAGAGACCAGAATGACAGACCAGAGAAAGAGAGACCAGAGTGACAGACCAGAGAGAGAGACCACAGGTTGGTCAGAAAGATAGACCTGAGAGGCACAAGCGGCGGCCGGCTAATTCATACATTATACATTAGAGATGGCTTCATCCATCTACTGTGTGTTTTCGAAAACAGAGCGTACGCACAGAAGGGGAGGGGGGATGTATATGCCTCAAGAACGACTTCAACCATACATTTGTCAGATCTCTACATCAGCTTTAGGCAAGGCAAGGCAAGTTTATTTATATAGCACAATTCATACACAAGGCAATTCAAAGTGCTGAACAAAACAAGAAAGCATTAAAATCCTAAATAATCACAGAACATAAAAAAGAAAGATACAAATATAAAATCCCTCAGTTGTAGCACAGCTAAACAGAACTGTCTTTAACCTGGTTTTAAACATTGTCAGAGAGGAGGCCTGTCTCACATCTTCAGGAAGACTGTTCCAGATTTTAGCAGCATGAATCTGAAAAGCAGCCTCCCCATGTTTAGTTCTGACTCTGGGCACTAACAGGAGTCCAGTCCCTTTATCTGACGGAAAAGTGAAAAAGAGAAGACCACCTTCACTCACACAATCAGCTCCCAGTCCAAATAGTCAAATAGTGACTCAGAGTATGCTAAAGATACTCCCCCTCTCTCTCCTCTCCCCCCGTGGCCTGTCCAGACCCTCCTTGGCCCTCCTCATTAGTCTCCTCATCGGCCGTCTGTCCACTTCCTCTCACCCCCTCTCTTCCGCCTCCCTCGCCCCCTCCCTCCTCTCATTTCCTCTTTCTATTGTGCTCCGGTGAAACTCCCTGCACATGTCACATCCTGGACACTCGGCTTCGGCTGTTTTAATATTCCGCCGGTAAAGTACTGCTTTTCCCGTGAGGGTCGAGCTCTTTGTGTTGGTGTGCAGAGCTGGAGCTGTTGTAGATGTGATCAAACCAAAAAACAGATAAAAGAGGAAGTGAAAAAAGTATTTATACACATGGGACCATAAAGGAAATATGGAAGGAATGATGAACAGTGCAGAAGTAAAAAGAAATTAAGTTAGAAGAGTTTGAAGTATAGTATTTCTAACAATTGGAGTGCATTTTGACTTTGAATGCAGGGCTCACTTGTCCTAGTCTCAGGTCTGGCTCTTGTGGCTCAAAGAATAGACGTTAAATCAGCTCTGCTTGTGTTCAAGTCTCGCCATGCATGACTCATTGTGAAGTTTTGCTCCAACTCGCTCTGGCTCCTATTGACTCAGATTGAAAAAGTAAACTCCTCTAACTCTGTAACCGTTTGTGTCATACTCATCGTTTTGGGCTTGAAATATCTGTGGATCAGCTCTCTCAGTAATTCTGGTGAGAATGGACTTTAAAGTAGCTCTGCTTGTGTACAAGTCGCTACCATGGCCTCGCAACAAAGTACATCTGCGACGTGTTAGTCCGAAATGCACCAACACGGACTCATGGGCAAAGGGACTGCCTCCTGCTGGTGCCCAGAGTCAGGAGTAAACATGAGGAAGAAGCATTTCAGATGTATGCAGCTAAAATATGAAACAGTCTTTCTGAAAATGTGGCTACAAGCTTCTACTCTGATGTTCAAATTCAGGTTAAAAACAGTCGTACACCTCAACAGGCTAAAAACTGTTCAGCTGTGCATACAACTGACGGATTTTATCTTCACTCTTTTTAATATACTGTGATCAATTATGATTTTTATGTCTTGTTTTGTTTCTATCATGTTTTGTTAAGCACTTTGAGTAGTCTAGTGCATGAACTGTGCTCTACAAATAAACTTGCCTTTCCTTGCCCTAGTGTTTATTTTGTAAATCCAGATCCCTTCATTCGTGGGGAAAACTCTAGCTTGCCTTAGCAATCGTCTGCCCCTGTTACTGTGCAATGCTAGTCAGAACCATAGACTATATGTCGGAACATACGGCCATATAAGGAAATTGGCTCAAGCTATCTTAAGTTCAAATTCCGCATTAAGGCTAACACTATGGTGATGTCACACTCTCTCAATCCGCTCTTCCTCTATATAATATATACATCTACAACTTCCAGTCCGACCACTCTCTAAGCTGATGCTGCGTGTGTTTTTTAGGCCAAGCGCAGAGACAGAGTGCATTATGGGCTGCGGGCTGAAGAAGATGAAGCCCGTGTCGGGGGAGCAGAGTCCGGGGAAGATCTACTCCACCCTGAAGAGGCCCCAGGTGGAGACCAGGGTGGGACCGGCCTACACGTACCGCTACCTGGACTTCCTCATCGGCAAAGACGGTAGGCCTCCACCTGTGACTGTGAGGTTGGAGTGGCCAGTCTTTTTTGATTTTTGCTTTTATGTCTTGGTTCTGTTCTTGCTGTGGTCTCCTTTTTGGCCCGAGTAGACGATGCTGCAGTATCCCCCGCGGCCATAGCTGATTTTAGGCTTTACGGTCACAGTGGTCTCTCACCATAATGCATTTCACCTTTTTGAGGCCGTGCTGTTTCGCTTATTATTGTGTAATTGTGCTTTTTTTTTTTTAAGTATGCTTCTCATGCGCCGCGTTTAAATTCCAACAACATCATATATAACATCCTGTACCTCATGACAGTTACAATTATTTAAGGGGTAAGGTGAACTTTTTTGGCTGTCTTTGGTATCCCTCTTTCTGGTCCCTCTCTCTCTGGCCTCTGTCTGGTCACACTCTCTGTTCTATCTCTGCTTTTCTCTCCCTGGTCTCTCTCTGGTCTCTCTCTCTCTGGTCTTTCTCTGGTCTCTCTCTCTGGTCTCTCTTTCTGGTCTCTCTGTCTGGTCTCTCTTTCTGGTCTCTGTCTGGTCACACTCTCTGTTCTATCTCTGGTTTATCTCCCTGGTCTCTCTCTGGTCTCTCTCTGGTCTCTCTCTGATCTCTCCCTGGTCTCTCTCTGGTCTCTCTCTGGTCTCTCTCTGGTCTCTCTCTGATCTCTCTCTGGTCTCTCCCTGGTCTCTCTGGTCTCTCTCTCTAGAAGAATGATATATACTGTAAATATGTCAAAGATCTGTAACACAACATGACTGAACTCGGAGCTCACAAACCGGACCAGTGACCTGCAAATACAGCTAAAAGACTGTTTCTTCCTGCAAAGACATCCTCTGATTATGAATTGATAAACAAGTCATTTCTTACCGTTCCACAGCTGCAGTGGAAATGTTCTGAGGACGGGGAGAGCAGATGCTTCAGACCACCTCAGACCAGCGGTAGCGCCGTGGAGCTAATGCAAAGCTCATTAATTGAGATTAAAGAGAGCGTGTTGATGTGGGGGCAGTGCTTCAGAGTGCTTGGCCTCACAGCAGGCCTCACCATGCTGCTCCTGCTCCCAGCGTTACGTTAATTAAGGATGGAGAATTAGATCAATGCAAAAACAGCATCAGTATAAAGTACAAATCTTCATTGATCTTCAAATATTACAGCTTCCAAGACATGCTCTTCACACAGTGTACTCTGGACCATCTCTGCAAATATAAAAACACAGCGATGCAGTGGTTAGCGCTCGGGATTTACAGCAAGAAAGTCCTGGGTTCGATTCCTTAACTAGACTTCTCCCCGTGTCTGAGTAGGTTTCCTCCAGGTGCTCCTGTTTCCCCCTCCTGTAAAAATATGTGCGATAGGTCTGAGGCTGAGTTTACACGGAGACAATGGAACTGAAAATGAAAACAAAGAATGAAATTAGAATTGGGAAATATGGTGTAATAAGTTAACACAAAATTAACATTCTGAGTTTGTTTGTATGTGAAATAACAGTAACATACAGATGAAATCTGAAATCCAAAGCACATTAAAAATAAAATACATTAAAAAAACAGTAAGGCCATGTTGAGAAGACATTAAGCCCCTGGAACCATATTTTACCCATCTTTTTAACCATTTTCTACAAGGACACTCGTTACAGTGTAGATTCACTCCATGTACAATACCCAGTGGTAGTGTGTAACGTTGGGATCAAGAGTCAACCTGTTGGGGATTTTAACCAAATACATCTTAATTTCAAGCACTAAAAACATGGGGAGTAGGCGTTTCACCATAAGTGCAGCTATAATCTGGAACAGTTTCTTGAAAATGTAAGACACGCTTTCGACTCAGTCAACCAGGATAAAATCCTTTCTGTTACGCTGTGCAGACAACTGAGGGTTTTCTTTTTTAACTACTTAAAAGTACCGTGGTTATTTTGGTGTATAATATAATGTTATTTTTCTTGTTTTTTTAAGCACACATGAGATGCCCTTTGCGTATGAACTGTGCCATACAAAAAAACTTGTCTTATAGCCCAAGAACAAGACAAACAACTTCCAATAAAACCGCTGTGCAACAGCCTTACTGAACTCATCCCATTATGTCACAGCAAGATATTATTCATTTGGTTTGAAAGCTAAATGTTTTGTTTCAGATGATAGATCATACAGTGGACAAAGACAAATCTTTTAAAAGTAAAAAAAAGGTTTTGACAGATTCTTTTTTCTAGTAAGTGAAGGTCCCTCATGGTAGGGATAAGGTTCCGCTGTAGCTGCCCTGGGGCACAGTGACAGAAGCCAAGGCAAACCAAACTGCACCCTTTGACCCTAAAAAGTGTTCACAAAAACTAAATATCTGAAATCAGAATGCAAGAGTTGTGAGAAAGTGATCATTTTAGAGACTAAAGACAGTATCTACATAAACAACACCGCTTTTGAAAATAACCTGGTATTCAAATCTGTCTGAGAGTTTATTACAACGGGTTCGTTTAAAAATGATGGGAATAATGATGGCTCAGACGGGAAAATAAATTGTGGTGGTTTTATTTACACACCAAAACAGTGAACAGTGAAACATATTTACAGTGCAGGAAAAAAAACAACAGACTCACAAGAAAAGACAGGACTTACAGCCAGCTCAGTTTGGGTTCAATTTCAGTACAGCTCACTCCAGCTCACTCACAGACTGACAGAACCCCCTCAGGAGTGAGCACGCACTCTTTTTAACTGGTTAGCCCCGCCCCTGGGCCAACCCATTATAAATTAACAGGGGTTTTTCTTCTAAACAGAAAAACAAAGGAATCCCACACATAGTTCCCTCCCCGTTCCTCAGTGTGAACATGCCTCTCCATTGCCCCATATAGCAATGCACAAACAATAGAAGACACACATTTTAATACTTTTAAGAATTAGAGTCCTCTGGTCCACCACAAGCGCGCGCCCTGCGCTATATATGGTGCGACCAGGAAGTGCCTCGGTTTGGCCAGTGGACCGAGACAAGCAGCAGGTGAGTTGTGTATGGGGGAAGATGAGATGTGTGTGTAGGCAGCAAGTGTGCACCCTTGTGCGCTACGGGGATAGTATTGGCAGGGGAAGAGTTTGTGTTGATGCAGGGCCGTGCAGTTACTAGCGCGGACCTGCCGGCATGCCGCGCCACACGCACGCTCAGACGCGCTCCTCTCTTCAGCGCAGGGAGAGAGCAGCACACAGCTGTTGACGGAGCAGTCGCTGGCGCTCCGTCACAGAGAGACTTAAAAAATTCACAGCAAGTAAACTAGACTGGTCCAAAAAAATCCACCCCCCTCAGCATTGACACACATGTGGAACGGAGCTTTGGGCCAAGAGCCAACTTTTGGTCCATCCTGTAAAGACGTTTTTGAGAGGTCTGCCAATGCTATATGTTAGCATTGGCTAATTCTACTTCTGGGTCCACCCCCATCGGCCCGGGGTGGTATTGCAAGCATGTCAGCGCACGTCATTTTGGCCACTTTTGAGCTGGGACCCTCCCCCACTGTTTTGTACGTTTACTTTGCACTCTGTGGTAATACAGTACAGACGTGCTGAATATATAGCACGTCTTGTTTGGAGCCTTTTTTGAGCTGCACACTTTTTGGATTTATTTTTTAAACTAAGCTTTTATTACTGTTTTTATTCGTAACAACTGATGGATTAAGCGGATTTTAACAGGTTGTGCCACAACAGGATTACTGTCACTTTTAACTGGACTGTATATCAGCCTTTTAACAGTTACCGCGGTAACCAGCCTGCCCACATACGCCACCATGGACACCGCTGCTCCCCCCGAGAACTCATACAAACAGATATACAAATCACAACTTGCTTCAATTCTTCCATCCAAACCAGTAAACGCAATGACCCCCGAGGAACTTCAACGCAGTGTTACACAACTATCCACAGAACTCATACATAAAGAGAAACTGTACTCAGACACTCACAGCTCACTACCACACTCCACGACACTGCTCTTTGGGATCCCATCACCTGTCCTCACCCCTCATCATGCTCTACCCCGGTCCTCACCTCACGTTCCCCGGTTGCGGCTGTTCCTCCTGTCCCTCCCGGTGCTCTTCCCTCCTCTACGGTCCCGGAGCCTGCTGCCCATACCCGGAGCGGCGCGGAGCAGAAGCCTGGAGACCACATAACGTCCACAGTGTCCTCACGTCGCAGGTTGGTGGAAGAGGCTGTGCGCAGACGCTCGGGGAGCTTCCCACGCTCTACAACAGCGCGGGGCTCCCCGGGTGTCACGCAGGACCAACTGCGGGAAGCCCCGGGGGGATCTCTGTGCCCTAACGTGGCGCAGGATACCTCCGGGAGCGCTGTCCCTGCTGTGGGAGGGTCCGTGTGCTCTGACGCGGAGGGAATCCCCAGAGGCGCCGCACAGAGCAGGTCCTATGCTGAGGTGGCCGGAGTAGCCCCTGACTGCAGTCCGCAGATCGGGGCGGAGCTCAACGTGGGCGGAGTCAAACGTTTGACTCCGCCCACGTTGAGCTCCGCCCCGATCTGCGGACTGCAGTCAGGGGTATATGGGTGGCCACGGGGGGGTCTCTGCGCTACATCACGGCGCAGATTCCTCCCGTGGACGCTGCCTCGCCCGCGGGGGGGTGTCTGCGCTCCATTACGGCGCGGACTCTTCCAGTGGACGCTGCCTCACTTGCGGGGGGGTCTCTGCGCTGTTGCACGGCGAGGAGTTCCCCCGCAGATGCCACCTCGCCTGGTGGATCCCCCCGCCCGGTGCGCGGCCCTCCCACATTCGCCCACACTACCACCACCACCAACCCGGCCACAGTGGAGTCAGTTCGGTCTCCGGATCCTCCACCCTGCTCCACTGCCGCTCGTGGCGGCTCCGCTCCGGGCACCTCCCAAGGGGTCCTCCTGTCCCCTGCTCTCCACCAGGTCCCACCCCAGTCACACCCTCCCCTCCGCGGCCTCTGTTTGCACCAACCACGCTCCTGGTGGGGGATTCTATTATCAGACACTGCAAGTTTTTTAATGCCATCACACACTGTTTTTCTGGAGCCACAGTCCCCACCATCCTCATTAAACTACCCGCACTTATTCAGACAGCACCCTCCACAATAACCCGGATCATAATTCATGTCGGCATAAATGACGCTTCTCTCCGCCAATCCGAGACCACAAAACGCCATTTTAAGGATCTTTTTAACCTTTTATCAAACTCAGGGAAAACTGTTTTTATCTCTGGTCCTCTGCCCACTCTGAACCGCGGCAGGGAGCATTTTAGCAGGATTTTATCACTCAACACCTGGCTCAATCAAACATCACTCCATCACAACTTTTGTTTTATAGACAATTTTAATCTGTTCTGGAACCGCTACCCCTTCTTCACACCCGACGGACTTCACATCAACCCACTTGGCAACCGGTACCTGATCTCCAACATCACCCACGCAGTCCAATCCCATCCTACATACCTCTGACAACCCACCCCCACATCCCACATCCCTCCTGCCTGTCTGTGCCCCAGCATCAACCCCTGCTCTCTTCCCCAGCACAAAATTACAGTTTTGTCCAGACCCCGCCCCTACAGACCGTCCATACCCAGGAAACCGTCCTTCACCAACCTCATCACTGTTTCCCCCTGCCCTCTCTCATCCTCTGCTCCCCCCACTTCGAACTATGGACTCCCCATCAACAATAACAACCCATCTACCATCAGGTTTGCCCTTTTAAATGTACGCTCCCTTTTAAATAAGACTTTTACTGTTAATGATTTGATTTTAGAACACGAGCTGGATGGTATGTTTTTAACTGAGACCTGGCTGGGTCCGGATGCTTCGGCTGTTCTTACAGAGGCCTCCCCCCCCCAATTTTAACTTTGCTTTTAAAACAAGAGAAGGAAAGAGAGGTGGCGGCACAGCCTCAATATGCAGTAACACCCTGGCCACCAAACCTATTGTTTTTAACCAATACTCAAGTTTTGAGTATCACTCTCTTGTTTTTAGCAACCCCAAAATTTTAACAGTAATTATTTATAGGCCACCTAAAAAGTGCAGCCTTTTTATTATTGAATTCTCAGCGTTTTTATCACAGTTACACAATTCTTACAATATGATAATTTTAACCGGCACGGTGGCTGAGTGGATAGCACTCTCGCCTCTCAGCAAGAAGGTCCTGGGTTCGAATCCCGGTCGGACCAGGGCCTTTCTGAGTGGAGTTTGCATGTTCTCCCCGTGTCTGCGTAGGTTTCCTCCGGGTACTCCGGTTTCCCCTACCACTAAAAATATGTCCAATAGTTCCGGCATGTGCCTCCTGTACTGGCGACCCCGCTCCCATCTCTGTGTGGAGTGAGAGACAAATGCCCAAAAATTAACAATTGTAAACCGCTTTGAGACTCAGATCTGCAGTGAAAAGGCGGTATATAAATAAAGATTACTTACTTACTTACTTACTTAACCGGTGATTTTAACATACACATTGACAATCCCTCTGACAATTTTACCCTAGATTTCTTAGATGTTCTTAATTACATGGATTTTACCCAACACGTCAGACAGCCAACACACAACAGGGGACGCACCCTAGACCTGGTCATTACCTATGGCCTTACTGCGGATGTGTCCTCTGTTGTCGACTTGGCTGTCTCGGACCACTACTGTGTGTTTTTTAACATCACTGGTTTTATACAGCGTGAGACCTCTGTGAGAACCGTGAGGAAGCGACATCTAACCCCTGAAGTGGCTGCAAATTTTATCGACATCCTAAATAACACTCCCCACTTGGTTTTACCTGCCCCCTGTGATTTTATAGCAAATGATTTTAACAGTAGACTTAGTTCTGCGTTGGATCAGGTGGCTCCTTTAAAAACAAAATTTGCACCCCCATGGAGAAATGAAGAAGTACGCAAAATGAAACAAGAGTGCAGGGTGGCAGAACGAAGATGGAGGAAAAATAAAACAACAATCAACTACAAAATATATAAAAACAATCAAAAAGCATACAATTACACAATTAGAAATCATCAGAACAAATACTTTGCAAATCTAATCAGCCAGAACAAAAATAATCCAAAAATCCTTTTTTCAACCATCGACACCATTTTAAACCCTGATTTTTGCATGTCTCTTTTAACCCCCACAGACTCCCTCTGTGAGGATTTTGCAGTCCATTTCATGGGGAAGATAAATACAATCAGATGTAACATTTTATCCAACCGCACTACTGTTTTTAACACATCTGATTGTTTGTCTTCACCAGAGGAAACACTGGACAGTTTTGTCCTGGTTGATGCTGAGATGCTTGATAAAGTTTTCTCCTCAGTGAGGCCCACCACATGTCTTTTAGATCCAGTCCCCACTCCATTTTTTAAGTCATTTTATGACTCTTTTAGAGAGGAGCTTTTAAACCTGATGAATTGCTCTCTTCAGACTGGGGTCTTTCCTGCAGCCTTCAAAGCGGCTGTGGTGAGACCCCTTCTGAAGAAGAGCAATTTAGATTTTAATGATTTTAACAACTACAAACCGGTATCCAACTTACCATTTTTAAGCAAAATTTTAGAAAAACTTGTTTTTATCCAGCTCAATGCCTTTTTAGATCAGCAGCAAATTTTAGAGAAATTTCAATCAGGTTTTAGGGTGAAACACAGCACATAGACTGCTCTTTTAAAGATTTTAAACAATTTTAGACTAAGTTATGATTTCAAAAAGGTGACTGTGTTGGTTCTACTGGATCTTAGCGCTGCCTTCGACACAGTAGATCACACCATTCTTTTATCACGCCTACAACACCTCGGCCTCTCTGGTGCTGTCCACAAATGGTTCACTTCTTATTTAACAGACAGATCCTTCATGGTAAGTTTGGATACCTGCTCCTCTCAGGTCCATAAAATCACATGTGGTGTGCCCCAGGGTTCCATTTTAGGTCCAGTCCTTTTTAACCTGTACATGCTCCCTCTGGGCGGTGTCATCAGGAGACATGGAATTAACTTCCACAGTTATGCAGATGATACACAGCTGTACATCTCCATGTCTCCTGATGACACCAGGCCAATGGATGCTCTTTTTAACTGCATTTTAGACCTGAAATCCTGGATGGCAGAAAACTTTCTCCAGCTTAACCAAGACAAAACTGAGGTTTTAGTCATCGGTCCTGAGGCCCAGAGAGAGAAACTTTTATCAAAACTCCAATCACACTCTTTTAATCCATCATCACAAGTGAAAAATCTGGGCGTAATCTTTGACTCTGAGCTGACTTTTATTCCTCACATCAAGAGTATCACAAAAATAGGTTTTTATCATCTAAAGAACATCGCCAGAGTCCGCCCCATTCTCTCTCGGGGCAACACGGAGACGCTGATGCATGCTTTTATCACCAGTCGCATTGACTATTGTAATGCCCTGCTCTCTGGTCTTCCCAAAAAGAACATTGCAAGTCTTCAATTACTCCAAAACTCGGCCGCACGTGTCCTGACTAAGACCAGGGGGCGGGACCACATTACACCGGTTTTAAAATCGCTGCATTGGCTCCCCGTGTGTTTCAGAATCGATTTTAAGGTTCTTTTAATGGTTTTTAAATGTCTTAATGGTCTTGGGCCTTCTTATCTTTCAGATTTGCTTTTATCCTATGAACCTTCCCGGCCCCTGCGCTCCTCCGGCAGCAGACTCCTAACCATCCCCAAAGTCAGGACACACACTCACGGCGAGGCATCTTTCCAGCACTACGGCCCCCGTCTCTGGAACAGTCTGCCGGAGGAGCTCAGGGCCGCAGAGAACGTTCATATTTTTAAAAGTAGGCTCAAGACACACTTTTTTAGATTAGCTTTTGATTAGTTTTTATTATTCAATTCTATTTATCTTTTATTATTTATTATTTATTATATTGCTATTGCTATTATTCATGTATTGTGTGTTCCTTTTAGTCTCATATTTTAGTGTTTTACTTATTGTATTGTTTTTAGTGTACCCAGTGTTTCCTCTGGAGGAGCCCTCTGCACTGGGAGCAGTGGTCGGTGTGGCTGCGGGGGTCGGACTCTTGGGCCTGGTGGGGGCCTGGGGCCTCGGTTTCATGTCTCCTCTGGGTCCTGTGTCGTCCCTTGTGGCTACGGGCGGCTCTCTGCTCCTGGTGCAGACGGCTCCTTGGATGACGCTTTTTCAGCTGGTTGCATCTGAACCCTGCCAAGTCTCTCATCATGGTTTTATTGTTTTACTGGTGTGTGTGTGTGTGTGTGTGTGTGTGTGTGTGTGTGTGTGTGTGTGTGTGTGTGTGTATATGAGTGTTCATGAGCGCGTGTGTGTGTTTGTCCGTGGTTTGGGGTGGGTCTGTTGGGTGGTCTGGGGGAGGGGTCTTGGGTCGGCGGGATTGTTTTTAACCAAACTGTAAAGCACTTTGTGTTGCATCTTTTGTATGAAAAGCGCTTTATAAATAAAATTTGATTGATTGATTGATTGATATACAGTCTATGGTTGATGCAGCCGTTAGCAGAGTATGTGGTTCACGAGTAGTCTATACAAACTAATATTAAACATTACAGACAGTATGGGCCAGAGAACTGTAGAGCAGTAAAATGTTTGTCCTCATGTCTCTGTGGCTGCTGTAGTCAGACGTGACTCTCTGAACTGGGTGAAGACACCCCCCAAAAAGGGGGGTGTCTTAGCTGCCATTTTCAGAGACCACTTTGTGTCCCATAGAATGTCTCTTGGGAAGTTTTTGTCATTTGAATATGTGTCTTTTAGAATACAACAAAAACAATCTCCTCTATTACTCATTTACATTTAGTAAATTATGATTGAAAAAACCTAATTTTCAGCTTAAAAATAAGGGACAAGATCTGTCTCGCGGGCCATAAAATCAAATAAAAATTAGATGATATGGTTTTGAATGCATGTAATGTTAGTTAAGATGTAGTACTAACTATATCAATTGATAATTCTTTCTTTTTAGAGTTCAGACCTGGGTCAAAATTAACCCGCAACGGGCAGTGGTGCCAGTTCCTAACACAACATGAGGGTTAAAGCAGAATAAAATCAAAGGCATGTATAAATAAAAATCTACATAAATGTCTTCAGTTTACTATATTTAGGTGCACTATAGGTGCACACAATAGACCCCGTAGACTATGTACAAACACATGAGCCGTATATATATACACATGTATACATAGTACTGGCCAGGTGGTCCAGACACCAGACAATCACCTGTTGTGTTCTTGCTTCAGTTTGCCTCTGCACACCCTCCTGGACCGTGGACCTGCCCCCCTCAGTAAAGGCTCTGGTGGGCTCGTGCGTGGTCATCCCCTGCTCTTTTGACTTCCCTCCTCCAGATAAAGAAGTCTCACAGTTCACAGGGATCTGGACGGACAGCACCAGCCACGTCATATACCATCCTGAAACCAGGAAGTCCCTGGTTCAGTACCAGAACAGAACTGACCTGCTGGGAGACCTCCGCCATAAAGACTGCTCGCTGAAGATTGACCCAGTGCAGACGGGTGACAAAGGGCCGTACCGCTTCAGGATAGAGATTGCACAATATACTAGTTATTCATTCAGAGAAAAGACTGTCTCCATTACAACCTCCAGTAAGTTTTCACTCTCTTGGTAATTTGTGCACACTACTATACTTATAGTTGTAACTCTGGAATACATGTTTACAATTAAATAGGCCAAAGTGATTGATATTTCTTAACACATAAATAACCAGGACTCATTAAGGATTTAATGAATTGTACCTCAATCTACATAAGTAAAATACTTGATTTTACTTTCTTCAGCATTGTTTCAATCTAATCCTGTTTAAATTGAGCCAAGGACCATAAACTCAGACTCAAAATCAAGACAAACATTGAGATGTTATGTGTCAGTTTTGACACCAGAAGTGAGAAATGAACCACCACACCTTTATAGAAGCACTTCCTGTGTGCTCATTTATATATATACAGTATATACATAAAGATAACTATGTTTCACCCTCTCGGGTCCTCTAACAGAGGCCTGGGAGCTTGAGGGTTCTGCTCAGTATCTTTGCTGTTCCTAGCATTGCACATTTCTGGACCGAGATGTCCGAGGTTGTTCCAGTGATCCGCTGTAACCACACCTCCAGCTTCGGGATCACTGCCCCGAGTGCACCGATCACCACGGGCACTACTGTCACCTTTACCCTCCAGGCCCTCTCCAGCTCCTCTCTGAGACCTCGGAATTTCTCAAGCTTTTCCTGTTCTTTTTTCCTGATGTTGTCATCGCTTGGAATAACCACCACAGGTTTCTTCTGTCCTTTGTCTACCACCACAATGTCAGGTTGGTTCGCCATTACCATTTAGCTGGTCTTTATCTGGAAGTCCCACAGGATCTTCGATCGCTCATTTTCCACCACCTTTGGCAGAGTTTTCCATTTAGACCTTTGGATTTCCAGCCCATACTCGGCACAGATGTTTCTGTACACTATGGACCCATTCACACCCTTTTCTTCACACAAACAACCCCCCGCTGCGCAGCATATCTGTTCTGTTCCACACTTGCGTTTTCACACCCCAAAAACACCATCTTAATGTATGCAAAAGGCCAATTCAATATCCAACTCTAACGTTTTACTGTCGCTGCATCCTCGTGTAAATAGCACATATGCAAGCCACTTGGTTAAGGCCTTCCACGTAGGCCTTCCCTGCAGCACCTTGCACCCTGCAAGTGTTGGATCGTCTCAGATCCTCCTTTGCACAACCGACACCTTGGATCTTGTCTTTGTGGAATATCTGGGCCTCTGTCGCTCTGGTGCTCAGGGCCTGCTCCTGTGCAGCCATGATGAGTGCCTCTCTGCTGTCCTGTACCAGCCCTTTCTAGCCATTGGACTTCTTGAGATCAACCACTTCTGCTATTTTCCGGCGGAAGATGCCGAGTAGGGGGCTTATCTTCCCATGGTCGGTCCTCATCCAGCACCTCCTGATCTCGCCACTGTCTGAGACATTCACTGAGGACGTCTCCTTGATGTAGTGATGGAGTTTTTTATGTTTCGTCTTGGACAGTGGCTCCCACACTCACGGCTTCCGCACAGTCTCAAGGTGCTGGATTTGGGATGAACACGTTATGCATGATGAGCTCTCAAGTTTTAATATCTGTGATCTGAATATCTCAGGTCTTTTGCAGACTCCAACAGGTTTTCTTCCAGAATGGTCCTGTATTTGGCTTCATCCATCTTCCCATCAATTTTAGCCATCTTCCCTGTCCCTGCTGAAGAAAAGCAGGCCCAAACCATGATGCTGCCACCACCATGTTTGACAGTGGGGATGGTGTGTTCAGGGTGATGAGCTGTGTTGCTTTTACGCCAAACATATTGTTTTGCATTGTGGCCAAAAAGTTCGATTTTGGTTTCATCTGACCAGAGCACCTTCTTCCACATGTTTGGTGTGTCTCCCAGGTGGCTTGTGGCAAACTTTAAACAAGACTTTTTATGGATATCTTTGAGAAATGGCTTTCTTCTTGCCACTCTTCGATAAAGGCCAGATTTGTGCAGTGCACGATTGATTGTTGTCCTATGGACAGACTCTCCCACCTCAGCTGTAGTTATCTGCAGTTCATCCAGAGTGATCATGGGCCTCTTGGCTGCATCTCTGTTTGGAGGGACGGCCGGGTCTTGGTAGATTTGCAGTGGTCTGATACTCCTTCCATTTCAATATAATTGCTTGCATTGTGCTCCATGAGATGTTTAAAGCTTGGGAAATCTTTTTGTATCCAAATCCGGCTTTAAACTTCTCTACAACAGTATCTCGGAGCTGCCTGGTGTGTTCCTTTGTCTTCATGGTTCTCTCTGCGCTTTAAACAGAACCCTGAGACTATCAAAGAGCAGGTGCATTTATACGGAGACTTGATTACACACAGGTGCATTCTATTTATCATCATCAGTCATTTAGGACAACATTGGATCATTCAAAGATCCTCACTGAACTTCTGGAGTGAGTTTGCTGCACTGAAAGTAAAGGGGCCGAATAATATTGCACGCCCCACTTTTCAGTTTTTTATTTGTTAAAAAAGTTTAAATTATCCAATAAATTTCGTTCCACTTCACGATTGTGTCCCACTTGTTGTTGATTCATGACAAAAAATTAAAATTTTATATCTTTATGTTTGAAGCCTGAAATGTGGCAAAATGTTGAAAGGTTCAAGGGGGCCGAATATTTTGCAAGGCACTGTATTTTGGCTAAGGCCTGCTTTATACATGGTTGGCAGAAGTATAGATTTTTACTTTTTTGGTATTTATTTTCCACAAATTGTTAGTGTAATGTATCGAATTAGATATTGTGTTTGATATATTTGGAGTTACTGTTCAAAGAACATTTTGTAGAACTCGGTTGTAAATTTTTGGACCTTGGGAAAAATAAGTTGAATACCTCTGAATGAGTCCGTTCAATCATTCTATTGTTTTGTTTTGTTTTTCCGCAGTTGAGCCTGAGCCTGTGAAGTTCTCTGTGAAAGGGGAAGTGCTGGAGGCTGAGTCAGTGTCAGCCCAGTGCTCTGTCTCCCACTCCTGCCCTCTGTATCCTCCACTTGTCACATGGACTCACTCTGGACATGTGCAGCTCCAGCATCAGCAAACAGGGGGCGCCACATGGACCACCACATCCACAGTCAGGTTCCAGCTGCGGCGCACTGACCACCACAAGCCTCTGCGCTGCACGGTCACTCACAAAGGGGGCCAGCAACATAGCGCAGGCACCGTGCTGGAAGTCAAGTGTAAGAGAATTATACAGGGGCGTCGATAAGAGGAGGCAAAGAGGGGTGCTGTTCGGGGGGGGGGGGCGAACAGCACTAACTTTGTTAAATGTAATTGATTTTCTTTCATTTGAAACTCTGAGTACAGGCAAATATGCAATATTATTATTATGACAAGTCTTTGTTGGTTATGGCTTATAGTCTAGTTAAATCGTATTTGTGAGCCAGTTCTCAACATTACAACAACATTGATATACAGTATCTTACTATCATACCTTATTTTGACAGAAAGAGATAATTGGACTTTTGAATCTTTAGCTTGAACTTTCTTTTGGGACAAACTACGGTATTATTAATTAAACTAAAAAGTTAGATACCACTGCTTTAAAGAAGAAATATTCTGCATTAGTTCTGTTGAATTATTATCCCTAAAGAACCAATACAGTAGTTTCGAGGCTGCAACATGTCACTTTCCAATGGCGTTTCCTTTTGGGAATGTAATTACTCTACTTATGTATGATTTTGGTGTTCATAACTTTTTCTGATTCTACTTGTTTACTTTAATGTAATTATATATATGAAATTATCTCTATCCTAGACTGGTCAAGAGCAATCTCACTCTGAAGCCAGTAATAGTTACCATAGCAACACACTGTTAACTTGCAGCAGTTAGCATTTAGGTTTTCTGTATTTAATTTATATTAACCCTTTCAGCCTGTGTTAAAGATACAAACCATATGAATTACTTCAGACTTCCAATAACCTGAATGGGATTCATCAAAATGACTGTTCTGTCCTGGTATCAATGTAGGACAGTGGCAGTTGATCCACACTTCCTCTTCCTCCTTTCCCTCCAGATGCTCCACTCATTAGAAATGGCTCATTTTGTTCCTACGAAGGCAGGAATGTGCGGTGCATCTGTATTGCTGAGTCCAACCCTCCATGTGAAGTCCACCTGCTACAGTCTGACCGGGTCCTGTCCCAGACCAGGACTGAGACCTCCGGCCTGATCACTGTCCTGACTCTGGAGACTGAGATGGGACTCTTCACTTCTGTCAGCTGCTTTGCCAATAACTCAGTGGGCCACATGGATCTGCTTTTGTCTTTACCGCTACGTGAGTTAATAGTAACAATTAGATAATGTTACATCATCGATCACTCATCAAATAAAGTTTGGTTTTAGTTCCACCCACGCTTATATCCAGAACTTGGCTCTTATTGTCAAAATGCTCATGTATCAAAGCTGGTGATCCTTACAACATTGCACCGTTTTATAGAATGAAATGAAATAGACTAACTATTTATATTCAACTTGACATGAACCAGTCAGACCGCTGAAGCTAACCAGACGGCTGGTTAGTACTGTGATGGGAGACATCTGGAAACACCACAGTTGGGTGGCTACGGCTGTAAAGTGTTGAAATGTAATTGTGTCCTTCAGCAAACACGTCACCCACATTGCCTTGAATGAGAAAGAGTTTGGTGTGTGTGAGAATAGTTGGGGGTGGTCGGAGGGGCCGATGCTGGTTGTCACGCTTCTCTGAGTGTGCCCCAGGGCAGCTGTGGTTACAATTGCAATTTATCCCCATTGTGTATGGTGAAAGAATAATGATGTGTGAAGCTTCTTTGAGTGTCCAAAAACTAAAAATTACATTCACTCTGATAGAATAAAACCATTGAAACAGTTCATGTTTAAGGATGAAAGGACGTAAAAATGAACTGCCCAAATACTCTCCATGCTTAACAATGACATGCAGAATGGATTTTTCCAACATGTGACCATGTTGCTCTCAAAGCTGTCTCTCCATACATGTTCCTGTCATTTATATTTTCTTATATTTTCTTTTCCAAATTTGTGTTGGTGGTTTGGCTGCATTGCACAGGCATTTTTGCTAGAAGGAAAATGTGTGCGTCACTAACATGATGTGGACCCTGTAAAGAAGGAGAGCGGGCCTGAATTTGTCTCATTCATTACATTGTTATAGCTCAATAATGAATGTACTAAATACACTGTGTGATACTGAGATGTTTAGATCGTATTGGTGCTGTGGCATTAAGGGCATATCGAGGGAAATGACAAATGATTCCATGTGTTTGTATTTTTTATAGATCATATTTACATCTACATCGGAGTTGGCGTTGGAGCATCTGGTCTGATTCTGATGATACTCATCATAGTGCTGGCAAGAAAATGGTAAGGAAAAATGACACATTGTTTTTGACTTCAACATGTTGCATTGTTAGGTTGCAACACGTTGGACCTGGTCTGGTCTTGTACCTGGTCTTGTACTTGGTCTTGTACCTGGTCTGGTTTGTTTGTGAAACCTTTGGGGCAAATTCCAACAAACTGAAACTGGGCCAACCAGTTTTTTCACTAAGCCAAAGTGGGAGTTCGCTTTGGTCAAAATGGGTCCCTCTTTGAACTTTGTGTCTCAATAGTGTTCACAGGGGCCTGTGGGAAAATACCTTGGGTCAGGTAATTGGTCTGGGCCTTAAAAGTACTTTATTGCGTAAAACACTACTTTGAGCTAAAGTACATCTGTTAAAAGTATCCTACAGTATTGAAAACAAACATTGTGCTGAAACGTACTAATTCGATTAAAAGTACTAATTTGATGCAAAGTAAAAAAGGTACAATTGTAAAAATATCCCTCATTGTTGCTGAGTAGGTTGGGTGGACCACAATCAGGCAGAAGAAGCATAAACTCTACAAATACAAAGAGTGACTGCATAAGTCAATGCAGAGAGTGACAGAATAAAACAACAGGAAATCCGATTGTATGATTTTTAAACAATTTGTATAATGTTGGAAAAAATAAGTATTGGACAGACAATCTTAATAACTCAGAGTTAATGCTGTTTCTATACAGTACACAGTGCCTACTTATTATCTGTCAAAAATTGGGCCTGATTTACGTAATGATTCACTTACCTATTGGTTTAAGGGACTGGCTGGCACTTATTAAATGCAGATCCACATAAAAAAAATACTGCACAAGCTTTGAGTTAATTATATTATAATGGGACAACAACGTGTAAAGACTTCAAACGCAGATAAACAGTTGGACCCATGTACGAAAGCGCAAACACACCTGAGTACTAGGAAAGAAAAAAGAACTGCTGAAAAAGCACACACCATCTTAATAAAAACTGAAGCACTCCCTGGGAGAATGAGACTAATGCAACTTCAGGGCAACACACTGAGCATGAATACATATGGTAGAGGGAATTCATTCATTCATACTCAAAGTTACAGATATTTACATGAACATTTCTGTTATCCATGGAAGTCCATTATTTGGTGATGAGTTTGATAAACTCTGGAAATAAACACAAAATGCCTGTAAGTTTACAAACATGAGTAAAGTATGAAACTGTCCGTCATCAGCCGATCATACCTTCGTAGTTGATACGGCCATCTCCGTCGATATCTGCTTCTCTCATCATTTCTCCTATTTCTTCATCGGTAAGAGTCACTTCAAGACTCTTTAGTGTTTGACGCATTTCAGCCGCACTGATGAAACCGTTGCCGTCCTAAACAAACAAGATTAAGACTGAATGTGTGTCTTTTTAATACAGGCCCGGACTGGCCATCGGGAGCATCGGGAGATCTCCCGGTGGCCTGCGTGTCAAAGTGGCCTGGGCCTGCCCTATCATCACGGTCTTTTTTTTGTTTTTTTTTTTTTTTTTAATTTAATTTCATCCTCACGGTCTTTGCAAACTCCTACCCTGCCTGGTGGCCTGGTCCAATGAGCAAGGCCCAGGCCAAAGCCAGTGTTGTGCGTGAACGAGTTCAAAAGAACGCGTTCATTGAACACGCTCATTTTTTCGTGAACGTTGAACTGAACGCAACACATTTTTTAATAATGAAAAAGTTTATATTATGTGTCATGAACGGCAGACAATTTGTTTTACATTTAAAACTGAGTGAAATCTGTTTTCTCTGTTGAAACGCAACAAGAGAAAGTTCCTCCCTCATGTATTCTCCGCACTGTTTCCGCCGAAAACTAAAAATTCCTACGGTTTGCACCGTCTGTGAACGCACCCCGACTCAGTGTACTTGCGGTGCGGCGCTATATGCTAGTGCTATTCATTGGTTGTTGGACTCACATGTGCCGTGATGAAAACACAGGGGTAAGTCAGTGACACAGGGCCGTTTACATTTGACATAAAGTATAGACACACGTTCTGCAGCGCATTACAGTTTGTACTTATGAGCAGAGATGGGACAACTCAGTTCCCATTGAAACCCATGTAAATCTTGTCTGCATTGGAGTCAAAACATCCTGTGCAGTGTACAGGATATAATATATAATTATATATTATATATATATATATATCACGTATTGTGATTTCTAGCTCGTAGTGAAAAAAAATATTTATTTGAATATCTCGCAAAAAGTTAAATGAACTGAACTTTGAACTAGTTCAGAATTAAAATTGAGAACTTCGAACGTGAACTGTTCACTTTGAGCATGTATGAACTGAACTTGAACTAGTTCAGAAAAGCTGTGAACTGGCACAACACTGGCCAAAGCTTTACTGTCATTGGGCCAGAGCAAAATTAAACAAATGTGACGTCACACGTCGGCTACACAGCCAGGCCTAGCAGTGCACCCAGTGTAGCCTCCCCGGTTGAAATGAGTGGTCTCTCCAACTGATGGTTCATACACGTTTTTATTTTTCCTTTTATATGAGCTGTAACGATGTGATTTTACCTTACTACTTTTTTAACAATAATTGATTAGCTTGTTATAGTTATACACTAATGAACACTTAGTTCATTGTGTGTGTGTGTGTGTGTGTGTGTGTCTTTATTCTCACTAAACTCCATAAACGTTACGTTGCTAAGCAACGTACAACAATCCTTAAACGTCCGAGATTATATAAACAGTAAATATAAAAAAAAATAAAGAAAACAAAAGTTTTGACAGTCAATCTTAAAACTATTAAAAGAACATCAAAATACAATGACAAAAACCCAAATTTAGAACCTTGTTTGGCCTGAATGGATGAAAAGCTCCCGGCCTGAAATGTTGTCCCACTCCGGCCCTGTTTTAATATGTCTATGGTCTATGGATTTACCATATCAAACTTTCTGAATTCCTCCCTCATCTCATCCCGACGTGGCTTCATTCGACACCATTGACAGAAACTCACCATTCAATTTGGAGAGACGAGAAAGCGAGAATGCTTTTGAGTATTTTAATGAGAGGTGGTTTGGCGCCCTAGGCCCCGGTGCGGCCTTCAGTCGGAGAGGCTCCTGCGATAGAGCGCGCACAATCCCCCGGGACCTAGGCACTGGTGGCGGCATTTTGGCAGCAGGAAGCAGATTGGAGGCAGATTGGAGGCAGGGTGAAGAGGAGGAGGGGAGGCGGTGGTTGCGAGGCTTCGAGAAGGCCGTGAAGTGGGAGTTTCTCCGCTTTTAAGCGGCTGCCTGGCCGGCACGGATGATTGGAAGGGGGCGTTTGCTGTGCGATAGGCTGGGGATGCGAGCTGGCCTGGAGGGGGTAGCTTATGGCTGACGTCTTCTAAATTGAATTTCCGCGAGCTGCATTTCAATTTGGAGAGACGAGAAAGCGAGAATGCTTTTGAGTATTTTAATGAGAGGTGGTTTGGCGCCCTAGGCCCCGGTGCGGCCTTCAGTCGGAGAGGCTCTTGCGATAGAGCGCGCACAATCCCCAAAAGGCTGTGTGTTGATGGAGTTTTGCAGCCTGTTTTGCAGGGACAGACGTCGTGACCGCTATCGCTATGCTGTGACCGCTATCGCTATGCTGTGACCGCTATCGCTATGCTGTGACCGCTATCGCTATGCTGTGACCGCTATCGCTATGCTGTGACCGCTATCACTATGCTGTGACCGTTTATGCGCTAACCATTTTTTGCTATGCTGTGACCGCTATCGCTAATGCTATGGCCGCTATCACTGATGCTATGACCGCTATCACTGATGCTATGACCGCTATCACTGATGCTATGACCGCTATCACTATATGCTGTGACCGCTATCGCTATATGCTGTGACCGTTATATGCGGTTATCTTTGAGCGCCGGGACGTGAGCGCTCGCATCACTATCAACCGGACGCTGCAGCAGAGTTATCTTTGAGCGCTGGGACGTGAGCGCTCGCATCACGATCAACCAGACGCTGCAGCAGGGTTATCTTTGCGCGCTGGGAACGTGAGCGCTCGCATCACGTTCCGTCAGACGCTGCGGAGAGTGTTTGAGAAAAGTGCGTGCCGCCACCAGAACTTATTGCTTCACTTACTTTGCTTCGTATTGCTTTGCTGGGAGCTTACGAGGAAGCCAGTAGACGTTTGTGCAGCCAGGATAGCGGACGCGTCTGGCCTGATGTAGGCGGAGAAGGCCAAAGAGGACCAGCGCCCCAGCTGTTGCAGAGAGGTGTGGGGGAGCCCCAGTGAGGCCGCGCGCGTGGCAGCGCCTATCCTGAAGGAGTGGGCTGTATGGAGCTGGGGAGACAATTGCAGAGGAGCAGTAGGGATCTTAGCTGAGCTCTGAACCAGGTTGCTGTCATGGGAAGGTTGCCTGGAGTGAGAAATAGAGGTCCGTTAAAATCTCCTTTTTGCCGCGGAGGCGAGTGTAACGCATCATGGACCTGTAGGGGCAGAGAGATGTGTCGGAGCGAGCTATTATTATGTTGCAGGCGCCTTTGATCTTTGAATGTTTGAGATGGAGGTTGAAATGGTCAGGGGACATTATGTTGGGTGAAAAAGAGCGACCTTTGTGTAATGCTTCCACTACGTCGAGATTATCACGCATGACAGAGATCCTCTTTCTCTGCCACGTGTGATTCCACGGCGCGCAGCCACGACCACTGGGAATATCTCGTGTAGGGCAGAGGAGATGCTCCGGTGGAAAGTAGCGGCCACGGCCCGGCAACCCAATGGTCCTGGAAGAACCCCCCAAAACCCACCGGAAGGGGCACGTCCGTGTAGAAGCGGAGACCTGTAGGGGCAGAGACATATCGAAGAGGGCCATGGACGTTGCAGGCGCCCCTACGCTTAGAATATGGGGTTGGAGAGTAGATAATCAGGATAGTAGGATGGTCGGGAAAGCCGTGTCTCGGACCGCATGAAGGTTGAGTGAGCAGTAGTGAAACGCTTATGCAGAGAAGACATAGAAGGCGAGCAGGAAGATGCTGCGAGGAGGGCAGACATGTACTTGGAAGATGAG